GAGTTTCCTAGTAATGTCCTTAACCCAGGGAGGCAGCAGACTTGTAAATCCTGCAAAACTGACACTAGAAAGGTAGATCTGGATGGGGGTTTTTTCATTAAACAGAAGCAGACAGTAAACATCTTGCACAGTTGAAGGGATCTCCTCCTTTCTTATGCTGGTAGTTACAGTACTCTTTACTCATCCCTCAGTATGTAGCAAAAACACACAGCAGGAGAAACATTGATAAAGACAACAGATAAAGAGATCATGGGATCAAGATTCCTCTCTCAACCCAAAACCTAAGCCAATCAGCATCACTGTGCATCTTAAAGGGAGACACACCTGATCTTTTCCCAGGATGCAGTGCGAACTGAGACCACATTCCCACACAAACAATGAACACATGGAATGAACATGAACCACACTCAGGTACAGTATCATTTGAACGCTTGTTTCCCAGCTGCAGAAACAAGGCCGCTATTAGTTCACGACAAGACCTTCTTTCAATACAAAAAACTCTATGGAAAAAAGTCTTCACTGAGGAACCAAAGCCACAACAGGTGACTTAAGACTGAGTTTAAAGTAAATTCAATCCTACTTAAGGAAAGGCAATTCATCTCTTCAACAGCTGTCAGTATTAACTGATTGAATGGGAAAAAGCAGCTCATTTCCCTCTTTCATTCAGGACAGTCAACTACTGAAGACGTTTTCTCCCCACCTCAAAAAAGATCTTTCAGGCTTTTTGAAGGCCAGAAGAAAGTTGTCAGGATTTCACTCACTGAAGTACTAACATACTTCAGTGATGCAGTGATGCAGACCACTGCAGTGGTCTGATCAGTTTACATGCTCTCAAACTGTAATATGCTTACTGGTATTTTTTAGTGATACTGTCACAACAATATCCCTACCACACAGGCTGCCAAAATTATGTGAACTGCTCAAATTGAAGTTTAGACTCCTCTGATTTAAGAATGAGTATTCAGATGCCTGTCTCTTCAAAAATGGAAATACTGAATAATTTCCATCCACCTACACAGAATGGGGTGTTTTGTTCCGTTACTCCCAGGCTCAGCAATCCCACTACCATCTGCTGAAGACTGTTCTCTCAGAGTCTGGAAAGTGGAACTTCAGGGGTAGTGAGTAAGTGTAAGATATACCCTAAACCCATTTGTGGAAGCTTTAAAACTACCGAAAACAAATAGCACTTAAGCACGTAAATAAGAATTGCATATCAGAAAGGCTAGTGAACTGAGCAATTAATTGCGGTATCTGGTTATATTATGCCCTGGTGCCAAAGACAGCACTACCAGTGCGGCTTGTGAAACAGCAAGATCACTGTTTTTGAGTTTGCACAGACATGGTGGGCGAGGGACAAGAAACAAACGGGCAGTATGAGGACTTCTGCCGAAGCAGAATTTAAAAGCCTTCAGACAAACTTCTTAAGTTGCTTTAGAGTCCCCACCTAAATTAAGCAGGTAATCTATGCAAGTTACTAATTCTGTTACCTAAAAAAAGGGCAATCTTCAGCAAGGAATGTTAACATTATGGCTTTTGAGTTATCTTCTAGCAAGATTACAAGCTTTTAAACATAAGGAGTGCTCTTAACAACTCTTCAGACATTTAGCTCTATACAAGTACATCTTCAGATATATTTCCATTTTTACTTTACTCACCTCTGAACTTCTTCAGGAAAAGTGGCACTAAACATTAGTGTTTGACGTTTGTCTTTTGGTGGCATGCTTGGGTAAGAAATCAGCTTCTTCATATCTAACCCAAAACCCATATCAAGCATGCGGTCCGCTTCATCTAGCACCAAATATTTCACATTTTGCAAACCAATCTGCAAGTATTTCAGTGAAAGAAAAACTGTATTGGTTCACTGACAATATAAACTAATAGAACGTCCTAATTATCAAAATCTACCTTTTACTTATTTCTTTCTAGTAGAAGTTATTTATTCACAAATAAATGCCTATGTGCATTATGTTTTATTTGCATCTCAACCTCTATTTGACTTTTTAATTTGCACTAATTCTAACAGTACGTATATACTGAACTGCTTCAGAGCTTGGTTCAGCAATGTAAACCAAGATAGAGCCTACAGACCGACTATTATTCAGCACATCTGTTTTGAAATTATGTCTGACTTTTAGAAAGGTTCTTTCATATAACCCTCACACATTCTCAAAAAACTCCTTGTTCTGAAAAAAATTATGCCAGAAAGCATTAAGGACATTACAACTTCACTGTTGCGACCAAGACTGTCATTTTGACTAGAAGCCTGGCAACCACAGAAAGCCAATCTCTAGTTTATTACAAAGAAGTGTTTTTCCAAACTTCATTTGTCCAGTGCAACATCACTGAGCCACCATTATAATATGTAGCAATTTCAATTTGAACTTATAATGGCTGGAAAAATAAAAATTCAAATACAACATTACATCTGAAGCTTTTTATATTTTGAATAAAATCAATTATTAACACATCCAAAGAATTAATACTAGTGTAGTTCCAGACAGATAAAAGCTATTGTAGCAAAACAAACAGGTCATCAAGTGAAAATCTGCTACGGAATTTTCCATGAGAACCAGGAGAAAGTGTTCCATGTATTTAAACTACAAAATTTAATTGCCAAGAACACTGCAGCCAGTTTGATTTAGACTGGTATTTTCCAGTGGGCCCTGAATGGGACTGAAGAGTACAGTCCAAAAACCTGATGGTATTTAGATATTCCAGGAAAAGCTCATTTGTACTTTAAGTAAGTGCCTGTACAAATGCAACATACTGACTGGTTTTCATGGCTCTATCTTTGCTTTTATCGAACTTGAAGAATGAAAAGCAGTATGTAAAAAGAGTATTTAGGGAATTCAAATTAAGTTTTAAGATCTTACCTTCTCTCTTCCAATGATGTCTAAAAGCCTGCCTGGAGTGGCACATAGTATATTACAGCCTTGCATTACCTGACGAATTGAATGGCCTGTTTGTGTACCTCCATAGATCACAACAGGCTTTATACAAGTTCTATTATATAGAGAAAAATTCAGATTAATTATGTAAGTACGCAAACAATATTGTTTCATGAAAATGTGTAAAAAAATCACCAGATCTACCATAAACCAGCTTACTTATAGAATCATAGAATAGTTTGGGTTGGAAGGGACCTTTAAAGCTCATCTAATCCAACGCCCCTGCCATGGGCAGGGACATCTTCAACTACGTTGCTCAGAGTCACATCAAACCTGGCCTTGAATATTTCCAGAGATGGGGCATCTACCACCTCTCTACCACCTCCCACCTCTGGGCAACCTGTTTCAGTGTTTCACCACCCTCATTGTGAAAAATTTCTTCCTCATATCTAGTCTAAATCTACCCTCTTTTAGTTTAAAACCATTA